CTTGTGATCTGCAGAACACAGTTCTTAATTGCTGCCAGCAGGATGTTTGTATTTTGAGGTGGGCCTGATTCCTTGACAGGAAAGAGATCACATCAGTGATGAAGAAACCCTTTGTTACAAAGGAGGAGAAAAAGTTCAGGACAGGGAAACACTATTCAGAGCCTTACCAGTACATAGCCTTGGTATGTCTCTGCATGGCTAGGTACAGATTTATATTTTTAAAGACCTGAAACATAGCACTTTCCCCCAGGCAACTATCACAGATAGACAAACATATTCAACCCCATCAATACAGCGGCTGTTGTATATCTTACACAAAGAGAACACTGAGAATTGTCATGCATTGAAGGACAGAGTTAAAGGAGGGCCTTTGCTTTTAGATGGTGACGTGGTTGCTATTGGGAAGCTCATGGCCTTTGAATTTAACAGATTTTTTTCCCCCACATTTTGTCACCTGCTACTGCAAAACAGAGTGATACTTGCTAATGAGACCAACATACAATTTTCTTCTTAGAGCAAGGCACAAATTATTCTATGTATCTCTGCATCTCTAAAGCACACTGTCTGGACCATTTGTGAAAGCTAGAATTTGACAGGGAGCCTGTGGCCTTTTTAAAGAAAGCTCAACTACTGTGGCCTCTGGCTCCTAGGGATATTCTTTTTCAGGGAAACAATGCACGTGCTTTTATTACAAGCCCAAACCCAACAAAGGAATCCATTATTATGATTTTACCAACCTATACCCTGGATATCTCAGAATCAATCATCATATTTTTGACACTCTCTCAAATTAACCTGGAGTTGCCAAAGTTAAAACATGTCTTCTGAGAAGGCATTTCTCCCTCATGTCGTTTGTCAGAATAGGTAACCAACTTACATTCCCTCTCTAGCACATATACAAAAGAAGGCATCAGAAAACAGTGAGGAAATGGCCCTCCTGCAGAATCAGAGCAAAGGCTACAAGATAGCTAAAAATCTACAAGATTTGTCATTTTGAAGAGAAATGTAACTTCCTCTTTCTCATTATGAAAAAACTCCATCTCAGGCAGAAACAAGAGACCTCAGGATTTCCCACACAGTATACAACCCTTGGAAAAGAGGAGTATGTTAATAGGTTCAACCAGAGAGAAGGAGTACATTAAGGTAAGCACAGGAAACTGGTGAAGTCCGCTGAACAACAAACAGCCAAACAGTTTAAAATTTTTCTGTGCAGTAAATTTGGCCAATAAAATCCTCCCCAAATTCAGCATTGTGAAAGATGCTAGTAAATTCTTCTGATCACAGTTTTCCCCAGAATACATAGTTTCATCATGTGACTATAACATTGAAAGGGGTGAAAAGGTGTCTCCTCAAAACATGCCAGCAACATGCCAAAGACATACATTACATATACAGATGTATTTCATAGCCTGGTTTATTGCTGCTTATGCTAATTTAGAATGATGCTACTTGCCAGATCAGTTGCAAAATTCCTACCTCAATCGTGACACAGATTTGGTGATATCTGAGGTGTCAGAGGAAACAAAACCCTTCCCCAAGTAATAATTCAGGAGAACTCACAGATGAGCTCCTGACAGACCAATTCTTCAGAGTTTTTGTTGGCAAGATGGAAAAAGCATGGGTACAAGTTGTTGAGGAAAGGCCTATATGTGTCATGGGGATTGCTCTCCACTGTGCTACTCAGGAAAATCCCTTGATTTGGGCAGTTCAAAGGAGCTTGTTCTGGAGTACAGCTTGGTCCTCAGGAGAAGAATGCTAAAAAGAAAGAGGTAACTGCTGCTTTTTGTGAGAAACCCAAGTCTGAGGGAAACTAAAATGAGAAATACAAGCCCTTAAACAGACTAAGAAAATAGTTTGACAAGAGAATTATCACCAAAAGGCTTACATCTATCCCCTCCACTGACTGAAAACGGAAGTATCCTTTTCCTATCATTCTCACAGCACCCAGGAGCTATGGTAAAAGTTACTTTATAAAAAAGGGGGTGGATAATGCTAAGCATTACTTGAAAATACTGTGTGATGTTAAAATAGTTGGCAACTGTTGTCTGAAGAATTGCTTTGCAAATATTCTCTCATTAATTTTGTGGGAGGCTTGACTATTGCCATTAATGATGATCGATTCTTTCCCAGCCACAAAATAAGCACCATTATTTCAGATTATTTGATGGACTCTTCTTGTGAAAGTGGTGAAAATGAAAGTGCCTCTGCAATTACATACATCACAAGAATCTGACTGCCATGTACTTAGCCCAAAATATCTTCACTTGAGTGAAAAACTGACCTACAAACCTAAAGACAAAGTGCACAGTTCTTTATGAAACAATCCAGGATCAATGGCAGACTGCAACCTTTGGTGAGGCAAATGAAACAAGCCCTGTCAAATTTCTTTTGAGAGACTGCTCAGGATGCAACAAAGAACGGGTTATGTGGCAGTGGAGTTAAATGATTCTGTCCCAAAGACTTTTAGTTTCAGAGTAGGGCTTTCTTCTGCAGGTTGGCAGTCGCTTAGCTTTGGGAAAAAAGTCAACTGGATATGAATCAAGATGGGCTGGTAGCAACCTCTTCTTCAAGCTGAGCCTGCCACAGGAGTAGATGTCATGAAGGTGAAGAGAAATGTGGCTTTCTTAGAATTTCTTGTCCAGTTCTGCACCTGGTGGAGAATAACTCTATTCTACTCCTTGGAAAATATAGTGATCACAGTCTTAGAAAAGCCTTCGGTGCTTTAAAATAACTTTGACAAGTCACCAACTGGCATTCTGAAAGAGATGTGCAAGCACATAAAAAGTGTGGGTAACAAAAGGCTTTAAAAAAAACAGAGAGGGGGAGAAACAGCTGGGAGATGTATGGGGCTAATCACCCCAATGCTAAAGTTTTTCCATCCCTTTGATTATTGTCTTTTGACTAAGCAATAGTTAGGTTGAAAAGCTATACCACACCTGGTACCCAGCCATCAGCTGTAGCAATTAAGGCCTTCTCCTCAAAGAAGAAAATACCAGAATCACATTGAAAACTTCCTGGTGGCTCAAATGAGAGCTAATCTCTAAAGACAGGTTTATATGAACACAGTAAAGCCAAGTCTTACTCCTCCACACTTCAGAAATGCCTGGCACAGCCTAAGCTAAATGATGTGGAAAAAAGAGCAGGAAGAGTGTGAGCCTGCCAAGTATCCACTAACTCCAAAGATCACTGTCCTTGGTGTTCTGGAAGTGCTGGATGGACTCGGCAAAGATTTTACACCACAAGCTGAAGTGTTGTTTAATAAGATTTGTCAATGTAAACATACTCTTGGAATGGAAGGCTCTGGGATGAGCAAGTCACCAGAGATCCAGTTTCAGGGAAACACATCTAAGAATGTCTTCTTCACATTGAAGTAGCTTCATAAAATGCAAGTGGGCTGAGCGGTGTCCATATTTCTGGTATCCAACTTCTCCTATGGTTTGTACCTATGACATTCTCAAACACTCCTCACCTGGACCTGTTAACAGTGGTGGTCACTCTGCATCCTTGCAAAGTAAATTTCTGCCCTCAGATTCCCTGCTTTAATCAGTGAATACTGGCTGGAACATCCCTGGTTGGGAGGCAGGTCAAATTTTAAATCCATGTAATCAATGTCATTCTCGGCAGTAAAAAGTTGATGATAAGCAACACAGGAGGGACCTTTACATAGAGGCTTTTTCTCTGCTAATCTGGGTGTGTAAGAGTTGAAACAGTTCTAGCTCAGACTTTGACACACACTTCAAAACCACAGTGAATGGGACCCACATTTAACATGTCTCTATTACCTATGGGAAAGTTTCTCATCTTTTTCCTCAGCTACAAATGATGGGCCCCATGTCTATTGACCTTGCTTCTAAAAGGTTTAGGAGGACATGTGTAATAGGAACTAAATTCTTCTTTTTCTTTTAGGGTTCCTTTTCTTACTATACATCAGACACAAACACTTCCCTGAGAGGACAGAATCCACCTTATTCAAAATGTCCTACCATTACACGAGGCTTGGCAATATCTAGGCTCTTTCTCAAAAAGGGTACAGCTTTTTGAGACAGGCTGTCAGATATGTGCCCTACACACGTCACATTCATCACAGCAAATCAGGAACCCACTGAAAGACATATCGTGCAATAGTTCTGGCATATGGAAGGATCTTCCTAACTTTGACCACAACCAATAACTATTCTTATTCAAAATCCAAAGGCTTTCTGATGATCTAGGATTTAGCTTGACCATTACGTTACCAAGAAGGAATGTTATGATGGCCTTATTTGCCCTTATTTCTCTGGTAATGGTGTCAACATAACTCACAGGAACTTAATGCAAATTTTCCTACATAAGGAATAAACACTGTTTGTTCTTTCCTTGAAGGGTTATGCAGCATAACCCATGTATAGAAAGTCCCCCACATGCCATTGCTCTATAATGTCCATGTATACACACCAGATAGATGTTTTGTGAATCTCTGTGGTGAGCCGCATGAGCAGCCCCTCAGCAGAATTACTTAAAATAAGGGCTAGTTTACCATCCCTGGAAAACATTTAAGCACTGTTAGAGATTTTCTTTCCAGCCATCTGTTCACTGCTTAGCAGTATCTCAGGCGACTTAGCCTACCTGTCCTACCTTTGTTCATGTGGAACAATAATTCCTGAAGGGATGAATAATAGCAGTGTAGCATAAATTATGCCCATTTTTTACCTCCCTCAGGAGATCTGGAAAGCAGTTCCTTCAGAGATGTTGTTCCAGCTGTTCCACTAAATCCTCTTCTCAGGAATGTGAGAGAGTCAAGGATTTAACTGATGGGATTGCAAAACCCAAGCTCATGATTTATGGGCAAACTCCAGCAGAGGGTTTGCTGCACAGAATAGAGTAAAAGCTCTCATTGCTTATATTGTCTCCTGAAAGCATCACTGTCCAAACACCACATGCTTCTGAGACTTCAATCCAGCTGCTGAATTTAGCATGCCACCCCAGCTACTTCACTGGCTTGACAGCTTCACTTGCTGTTTACTATTGCAACAACACACCATCAGTAAGGTAAAACTAACCTGTCTCACGACAGTCTAACCCAGCTCATGTTCCCTCTTCTCTATTTCCTTTACTCCTTTTACATCTGTAGCAATTTCAACCACGTAAACCCTGTCCATGTTTGTAGTTGACTTTTTATAATTCTTGAAGGTAAAAAGAGCCAATGCTCTTCTGCAGTAATCTTTTATTTGGCACCTTGTTCTCTGCACTCTAATAACTCCATCTGCTTTGAAAATGTCACTGGCCTACATCTGTTAATAACCTTTTTCAAGGCTCTTTTGATTTCTTACACAGTCACATAGCCTCCTTTGGTAAAAGAAAGGCCCTTCCCTTCTTATTTTCTTTCCCTTTTTCCCTTCCTTTTTTCCCTTTCCTTAGGGAAGGACTTTAGAAGAAGGTTTAAGACCTGGTAGCTCTAAGGCAGTGTCAGAAAATGGAGTCCGGAGCAGAGGCAAAGGATTTCTAGTCCGGCTATCAGGTGTTACTGGCAACAATTACAGGCTGGTTTCAGTGCTGCTATCTGAAGGAATTCAGCTGGTTGCTTAAGGGCAGTCCGGACCTAGAATGTACTCCTACTCACAGCTGTAGGAGATTTAGTTCAACTGTACCTGTGTCTCCCCATTCCTACTTGCTACTTTCAATGGTAATTAGTTTCTCCTCTCACATGTGCATTTGTAGTTTAGCTCACTGAGGGAAAACTACCATATGCTGTTTAGGTGACATAAACCTCAGCTCCAATATGATCAAAGAAAGAGTCAGCAGAGTTGGTGCTCAGCCTCTCCCGCCATGCCAGTGCCTGCCTGGCTCCCAGAAGCGCCACAGCTTGACCCTACTAGAGTCCAGCCCACAGCAAACCACACTCAGCTGCAGATGTGCTCTTGCCTATGGAGCAGGATTGTACCTTGCACTTAATATGACACACCAGGGAGGAAGATGATGTAAGACACAGCCCACCCCATTCCCCCAGGTACTAGAAAGCTGTTTTGCTCATTAACAGCACAGGCAGCTTCTGCCTTCAAGTGAGTGGGAGGTTTAGGGGCAGGATCTGGATCTTGCCTTCAGCCCAGAAAGCTGAAACAGGGGAAAAGCTGCTGTGGCAGATGTGCTGCCTTGGATTTATATGGCTTTATATATTTATATAAGGCTTTATATGAAGTGAGACCTGGAGAAGTCTTGGTCTAGTCTCCCTCTCAGGAAGGCTCAAAATTTGATTTTATCAGGTGATAGCCTCAATCTAGTTTTAGATTGGGGGAGGGGGGAACGTGCTTGGATCACTAAAAACCAAAGTTGAAATAGGCTTTACTGGCACACACATTGCCAGTTTCAGCGCAGGTGACTCAAGAAACACACAATCTGAGTCACTATTTCAGTGACATCAATGCTACCTCCAGCAAATAACCGAAACTCATCAAAAGAGTTGCATGATGGAGCTGCTTCTGTTTTAACTCATCCTGTCCCTGTAATGGGTCAACTAATGGATGTTGGTCTTTAGCTGTGGCAACCTGTCACATTTTCTAACTGGGAGAAGTGAAGAATGGTGCAGTGACCATGGCCAGGGGCTAGGTGACCTCTCCATACTGGGGACAGGAAAACTGACAGCAGGCAAGTGCCTCTGACTGTGGCTTTGCTGCCTCTGTCAGCTGTGCCGCAGAACAGCCTCCAGTTCTTGAACCAAACGGTTTGAGTCAGTTACTTTCATGTTGCCCATAGCCATAGAGCACAAATGTGCCAGCTGCCTGCCCTCTTCCCACACAAGGAGAAAAGCAGAGTGAAAATGAACATGTAGGCCAGGAGTCTGGGTTCAAGCCTAAACCCCAGTCTAATGTGGTAGGTAGGTAGCCTGTGTGACAACCACCCATCATGGAGTTACTAGAAATTTTCTTGAGTGGGAGCACAAGGGGCATAAATTTATTACTCCAATTAAAATCAAAGTAACCCGTATCTTTGGGAGGATACTGATGGTGTCAGAGCTGTAAGAAGATATGGTCCAGTTCCTTACATCATTCCTTTACCCCACTTTGATCCCAATACTTAAATTTAGGATGCAGCAGTTAGAACAAGCTCTCAGTGTGGTGAAGTAGGATGTTTAAAAAACCCTCACATTTTGTTTCCTTTCTGCTGGGTTTAAACTTTTAGATCAAATCACCCTGAAAAAGATGTTTGTGCAACAGGAAAATGTGGTATCAAGATTATCAGAACAAGGTAGACAATAATATATTTCATGTGACTTGATTGCAAAAAATGACAAGGAAACCACAGGACATCGGTGTGAATGCAATGGAACAAGGCCACGAAGCGTGTGTTGTGTGCCACAGACATAAGGGTTTATATAGACTTGAATGAGATTCAATTTAGATCAAAAGAACCTTCAGGGTTTTTTTTCTTTTTAAGATAGAGGCATGTCTTTTGGCATTACACAGCTTGTGGCTATTGAGGCAGATCTGAAGGTAACAGGATATGGAGCACACACTTCTGATTTACTAGCACAAATGGCTCACACAGGCATGGAAAGTAAACTGTTTTAAGCCCTTCAAGATCAGAGATAAGACTTATTAACAGGACTGGCTGGGGAGTTTTTTCTCATCACTTCCTTGCCATGCTAATTTGGTACAAAGGTACTTCCCTGACTGGCCTATTGGCAAACCATGACACCCAGATTTTGTAACATATTCCCTGCACTAACCTCCATGCCATGACCCCCCCATCCCGTCTCACTCTGCTGTTGCATCTTGCCTTTGTCATTTTATCCTGCTTCCTCTCATATCTCTTGGGCTAGTACTAGCTGTTCTTTTGGTTCCTGTTTTCCTACAGCATCTTCTTCTACGCGCAGGTGGGAAGTAAGACATGACAAACATACCTGAAATATCGCAGAAATAGGCAATTTGGTCACTGTCATCCCCTGGCAGAATGGTACTTTGCAGTAACCTAAAATGCTCCTACCCAACAGCAGCCTGCAAGAACTAAAATACACAGCCATCAAGTACTGTGACAAGTAACTCACACAAGATACTTTACTGTGCTTTTTCTGTATATTTTTCACTATTCCAGAATTCAGTTCTAGAAGTATAACTGGGCCCTGAAGAATTTTGTGCTGAAATGTAATGCACACTAGGACATCCTAGTACAGATCATTTATTCTGTAGAGCTGGTGTTAGCCAGGGGGCAATCTTCTCTCTCCCTCAGAAAGCTTTATCCTTCGGTTCTTGTCAACTTATCGATTTTACAATTTAAGACTCATCATAATTTAAAAACTGCAGATGCAGCTTCTTAAATATCACTATCAAAGCACCCAGAACAAGACTTGCTATGTAACTTAGAACACGCACAAAACAGCTTCTCTCAGCCTGATGTAGTTGATGGCTCCTTCATGCATGACTTGTTAAGTATTTTGTGTTCAGCTCTGTGCCCAGCCCCACAGATCGAAGCCAGGCTCGTGGAGCAGACCTTCCACATGCTATGGCTTCCAACCAAAGACCTGCAAAGTAATGCCCACTCCTGAAACCCGTCTGCCTCCAAGGGGACTGTGAGACAGAGCAGATGGTCCTCAAAGTGACTGTTCCTTAAAAGCAAGTGCTATGGAAAAGCAGGGAAATCAAGCTCTTATCCTACCACTTGCCCACTAGCTGTCTACCCCACTCCCTAATTCCAGCTACCTAGAACCTGCTTTCATCTCAACAGCTCCCAGCAATCCTACAAGCCTCACTCCAGAAAGAGAGAAATCTCGCTTTGACCTACTATTTTCTAACTTCTCATCTCAGCTTCTCCCAAGCGTCTTCTGGAGAATACTAAAACAAATATGCTTTCCTCAAAGCTCTATCTCTTCCTACTACTCAGGAGGTCCTTGCATGAAGAATCATTGCCCGGCTAACACCAATGAGAAACGCCATACGTGAGCACAAATAATCTGGGCACAGAGCCATTCATAAACAGAGCACAGTTTGAGAAGAAATCTCAAAATTCTTCTCAAACAGATTACTGTTTGAGAAGAAATCAATGAACTTGAATTTTGCAAACCTGAACAATTTTAGAATAGCATATTTTATAATTTTCTGTTCACAATTAAAGATCTTGACAAAATCAGTCAACCGATTTTAGTCTTCCACAGAAACAACACAGGGAAAATTACTTTAAACAAAGAACTCTCAAATACACAAAGAATACATAATAACCCCTTTCACTCCGTATCTTTCCTTCTGACTTCCTCAGAAATAACTACTTTACATGCCAGATTCTGCTGGCCTTAAAACAGATCATGCTGCCCAAATTAATAGGACAATTCTTGAACTATGGTAAAATTCAACATATGTGAGTTCTCTATTAAAATGCCTATATGCTCTGAATTTTTATGTTGGTACAAGCCCAGATTCTGTGTGGGGTACTCTCACTGTGCAGGAACAAAATCTTTTACATCTCATTTTCTCACGTTTTTTTTTTAAATAAATGGCTACATCATGTTTGCCCAAGACACAACATTCTGTTTGTATCACAAAATAAACCAACCAGTGGAATGGGTCTCTGGTGTGATGAGTAGTATTTGGAAGCAAGAGAAAAAGCAGATAAGCCTAGCCCTCATTAAGTTGTTCTTTTTCAGAGACTAAATGTTAATAGGACTTTTCAGTGCTTAGAGAAAACTTTGAATCAGACATTAAACTATTGGAAATACTTATTCAGAAAAAAGGTATATACCCCTGCTACACCTAAGGTTTTCCAGTGTGTTCAATATACTAATTTTTTACAAGAAGCACCTCTGTCTTTCATAGAAACATTTCACAGTCCTAAAACACGTCAATGCAAAAGTGTCCAATTTTGATTTTGAAAATGTAGTCACCTTTCCTCCTAGGTAACAGGACTTTCAAGATTAGAATATCCATTTCAGTTACATGATTCCGAAATTTGCTCATATATGTTCGTCCCCCTAACAAATATGGCTAAATAGTAAAGATGATTTAGATAGTATTTTTAAGGTAATTTTTCTGGGAAATTTGAAAGAGTCAACATAAAAAATGAATAAATTTATAAACTACTCAGATGTGTTGTTGAATTCAGGTTACTCATTTTCAAACAGCCCTCATTTCAAAAAAACATATATTTTAATCTCCAAATTGTGTACAGTCTGAACACTTAACTGAAAGGTGTCTTTGCAAATGCACTTTGTTACGTATTTAAGGAAGGCTAGGAGCACACACAGATACTGAGAATGGGATTGCATTACTTTATGCAGATCTGGTCTCTCTTTGCTTTTATTATTGGAATTATGTCTGTTGGAAATACAGACACTATGTTGTTAGCACTACAGAGAAATTTACTGCCTGGCCTTTTGCAGGTTCTTGTATGAATACTCCTTGTACATTCTTCATTCTGAGTCTCTATTATGTTTTGTCTCCCCTGTTTAGATCTGAGCAACCTGAAAGGTTTAACACACTAATTTATTTAATTTGATTTCTTTAAACAGATGGAATATAGAATTTCTCTAGCCTGTCTCTGCTTGAAAGACAAAAAGTTGTGTTTGATTAAAACATAACATCCAGAAATACATCTGCAGGCTGATTTAAAAACATAAGAAATGGAGAAATCCCACCACTTCTTTTGAAAGTTTATTTTGCTAGTTGATCACTTTCAGAGTTAAAATCCTGAGCCTTTGTTTGTGTGGGTAAAACCTGGTCAGGCTCCCTTCTGAATTACTGCACATTTGCCAGTGCTACATGGCTCTCTGCTCTCATGGTGTTTGGAATCTGGGACTGCATCTTGAAAAATTTGCTCAAATCTTTTGTGAGTACTGATCCGTTGTTTGTACTGTATTAGCAGATAGAGACTCCAGCTAAGATTTCACCGATATGTACACAGTAACTCTGTTTCTGCTACAATACCAAATAGGCAAAATGGAAGGTGAGAGAAGAGTCCTTCCTCTTTTTACGGGTGAAGAAATAAGGCACCCTGCATGCCCTTTTGAGCTCATTTAGGATAGTTTTAAACAACTGCCACATGTTGGGCTCAACTGAATTATTTTGAATTTACAAAGAATAAATGAAGATCAGAATCTGGCTCTGAAACTTGCCTGAGAGGAACAGGAAGTTTGTGGGAACTGAACCCAGGAAGAAAATTCATGTCTACAAAGCCCTGGAAAAGAGCCAAACAATTTATAGTTATAATAGATTAGAGGTCCTGTCCTAATTCTATTTGCTGATACCCAACTGCTTACTGCCTCATATCCTGTAAACTCAGACTGTGCACTGATGCACTCCCACATATGTGGCACCAGACCGACACCACTTTCGTCGTTTCAGTCTAAGCCAACTACAAATTTGGAAGCTTTTAGTCAGCAGCTAACTTGATAGTTTCACTGTCTTTAATGGATATGAACAATATATGTTGTGCCTTGTTACATACATTTTCTTGCTTTGCCAGTAAAAGCATTCGTGTGGCCAGAGTACTGCGTGGCATGTTGATTCTGAGTGGGTGTTTGGTGACAGGCTGAATCAAGCTCACTACCTCTGAGGTACTGTACAAAATTTTACCTTTTGGTTCAAATTTTCACTAGGTCCTTTCCTGAGTTCCTCTGATTGTCTTTTTTTATGTTTTGGCTTGTAACATCCCAAGTGACACAATACAGCTGCTGCCCTCCACTATGGCTGTTGGCTTGTCCATCTAATAATCTGAACCCTGAAATTATGGAATATCCTCTTGGTTGGCCCAAGATGGACCACGGACAGACCTAACTGTTTGTAAAGCAGGCTTAGTAGTCTTCATTTTGGCGTATCATATTTGACTGTTAATAGCTACTGCTGTTTCAGTCTTGCCTTTGTTTCACTGTAATATACAGAGGGTATTTCCAGGAGTCAGATTATTTTAAAAAAAGACTTTTTTTCCTTGCTATGTGGTAGATTTACATGTATCACTCTTGTCAACCATAATGAAAGTTACACGTGTAAAAACCCTGGTGGCAGATTGTGATAAGGCAGATTTAACACATATCACTCTGCAGATAAGGATGCTACAAGACTTCGACATTTGTAGTGAAATGCTTCAAGGAAGGACTGTATATAATTGATAATGAAATCCAGATGGCTTGAACAAACTGGATGCCAAGAAGGTGACCAGCCTTGGAAGAAAGTTTGTGGCAGAACTCATCCCATAGAAAAGAGCAGAGATAGAAAGGGCAGGCCAGTTTTGCCCCTCTATCCTTACTGGAGAATTAGTGCTCCTGAAAGTAAAAAAGAAGAAGGAGTAGGGAAAAATCAACCCCTCCAAGATCAAAAGACGGGGTTGGAAGATTTGACAGCAGCATGACAGTTTGCCTGCTTCCTTCTTCCCCTCTCTTTCCATTTCACAATGGGAGTCCTTGAGGGCCTGGTGGAGGTTCCCTTCTTAAACACACTATGCCTTTGCTACAGGGTTAAAAAAAAATCACAAGTGGTTATTGAAATGCCATACATCACTTCCCATGCCACCTGCATGAAGAATTCTTTCTCTCTGTCTCTCTGTTAAAGAAATGGCATTCTCTATTTACTTGAATGACAGACATACCTTTCCCCTAGCTTCTACTTTAAATAGTTTTAGCTATTACTCATAGCTGTTTTAGAACTATAACACTGATTTCCTTGCCACTACCCTGGTGATTGGTCATACAGTACAGCTATTGCTTGTGAATAATGGCAAGTAACCTTGAAATCTAGCCAAGCCTGTAGTAAGTTTCAGGAGTCTGCTTAAAAACATAGCCCCCTCAGTTTAGTGAACTTCAAATGGGGAGCCTGGGACCTGCATAAAGAAGTATGGTTATCACCTGCAAATGAACTAAGCTAGGGTTTGGAAATCTTCAAGAAAGCTTGAAGCCAGAAAAAAGCTTCAAGGGAAATCTTAAAATCATCAAGCCTGGGAGAAGGCTTTAGATTTAGGTTTATGACTTTTTGTTTGCTACTTAATTATGCAATAAGGCTGTTCTCTATCCCATTAATGTCTTTTAATGCTGGATTCTGCTGGCCCACAGCCTTCTTTCCTGTGCTTAAAGAAAGTGGAATCTAATAGCCTGTTACCTCAGAAAGATGCAACTACCTTTTTCCATATATTACCACAGGCGAATGCTTCCATCACGAAGTTGTTCACCATCCACAGGCATTTTCTTCAAACAGCTAAAACCAGAACTATTAACTGCTGAAAAAAACTGAAGACGTCTCATGTAACTGGTGAGGTGATGACTGACTGCAGGTCAGCCTATGAAAGCTTGGCATCTCAGGTGAAGAACCTAGCTGTTTTCATGTACTACAACAGTCTGTACTCATGCTTTAATAAAAAGATAGCACACAAACTGTTTGACAACAAACAAACCACGGGCTCTTAGCTTATGGAAAAAAGAATGGGAAATACACTGAGCTGAAATGTGGAGAAAACCATACTTTCTGTTACATTTTATGGACTCTGTTTTTCATAATCAAAAAGGATCTTGAAAAGCCAGAACACAGAGATGTAGGCATAAGATGCCATGAACAAGGATTACATAGATAAAACAAATAGGTATACGGTCCCCTTTCAGAGGTGACCCATGTGAGCTGATGAAATGCAAGGCCTCTCTGTGCCATACAGTGGACTCCAAAGAGATTAGTGTCAGAGGCCACTGAATCCCCTTTGCAAACTTGCAGCCACATCAGAGCTGAGTTGGGCCCAAGCTAACGGCCAGGCCCCAGGAGCCCCGGTGAAGCATTGCTAAGGCAGCTGCCCCACCACTGTGGTGGGTTTTGGCTCTCTGCAGGGGACAGCACGCTGCCTTTGGTGGCACCAACACCAACATCTTTTGGCTGTGCTCCACAGTGCCGTGCCACACGTCAGCTGTGAGGTGGGCAGACCTGCCCCAGGCAATCTGTTGAAATCTCATTTGGCCAATACCCCTCTGGAGCCCATCAATAAATCCTTGAATTAAGTCTTTTTGCGTAGCCGAGTGAACTCCCCATCTCCATCCCTTGCCAAAATAATCAATTCCAATTTGTTTTAAACGGTATCCCACCGATGTGCCACAATTTTTTTCCTCACCGCATCTCTCTTTTTCCCCCCACAAGAGGGCACCAATACTGCATCCTTTGAGACATTTTCTTTCACAATGAAACACGTGCCTCAAAGGAAACTGCGGGGAGAGAAGCCAGAGGGACCCAAGCAGCAGGTTTCAGATCTGGAGCAACTCCCTTCCCCCCGGGGCTCCACAATTTTAATTCGAAGGTTTTGATTCAGAAACACCTCTTGTGACAGCTGCATAAAGTCTTTAATAGGAGATAGTTGCATAAAGCCACTAATAGGAGATGGTAGTTCACAGGCACATATTTGATTTTATTTCTCCATTTTGTCTCTTGGCCTGTGCTTCAAGCAGTGAGACTACAAAAAAGGGCGTCTCTGGAATTAGAAAGATTCATGGACCTTAAGAGAAACCAGTCGGAGAGCTGAGAAATACCAGACACCAAATGTCTCTTGAAATAAAACATACATGAGACAGCCAACAGACAAATCTTATTCAGGGAAATCAGAGTGAAGTAAAAACACAACTAAAATTGCCATAGGACAGGGAGAATCTAGTGAATAGAGAACAAGCTAAAAAAAACCCCTGTACTGTATAACCTGACACAGTGACAGCTACAGGTGAGGCAAGATAAATATGCGGAGAAAATGAAAATCAAGAAAGGAAAGGAATTACTTAGTGTGGGCTATGGGTTTATGCTTACAAATACAAAAATAATTCTAAAGAAAGGAAACCGTAGGCTAAGTACCAGACAAGCTTCCTGTACAAGGTAGAGAGCCCACATGCTCTCTTGCAGGCAGTGAATGCCCACATTTAAGCCACTAATTTGGTTCCCTTATTTTGGAATTTGTAAATGCTGGGCTAGGCTTCAGGGGCAGGACACAGCTACTAAGAGGGTGTTATTCCGGCTTCTGCTAGAGCTCTAGTTTACATAATCTACTAACAGACATATTTTTACACAACTCTGTGATCAGGGAATTGTAAGAAATCCATGTAATGCTCTTTCCTCCTCTCTCCTCCTCCACCTCCACTGTCTGCACACAGCACTTCCTCAGGTAAAGGCAGAACTGTTTTCACCAAGTCCTACAACTTGAGAACCAGGGGCACTTGATGAAACTGGTAGGAGATATTGAGTTAAAACAGATAAAAGTGCTTCTTTTCAAAATGCGTAGTGAATTTCTGGTACTTGCTGCCACAGGAGGTTGTGGAGGCAAGCACAGCAGCAGGTGAAAAAAGGTTTCAGACAAATTCATGGACAACAGCTACAGATGGAACGTGAAAACTCTGGGCAGGGATATATTCTCTAACATCCTAACCCAACTATTTTGATGCTCAGGGAGTACAAGGGGTATGGACTGCAGACTATGGCCAAGCTTGCATACTCTCCCTAAACAACTGCTTTTACTGCCACTCCTGAAGAGAGGACACTGAATGACAGACCATTGGTCTGGCTCAGGGGTGCACTTCTATATCCTCGTATTCCCCCCTTCCACTCTTCTGATTTAGGCAGAGCTATAACAACTACAACTTCTAATGCTATGATCACTCATCAAAATGGCTATCTAGAGGCTGCGTAGAAAGAAGGAACAATACAAATTGGTGCACCTTGAAAAGTTGATTTGAAAAAAGGCTAGAGAGTATTCACAAGCCTCTCAAAGCCACCACCTTGCAGGGGCACTGAGGTGAATGCTGCACATAGAAAACCTGCTGGAAAATGCATCATGAAGTGTTGGTGGAACAATTTTCTGTCATAAGATGCAATTCCCACAAGCTAAATGCCCTTCACCAAACTGCATCAGTTTGGCTTAAGTTTATTTTGGCAACCAAACAAAAGGGAGAAGGGAGGGTACTCTTGGTATTGTCCAAACATCCCATTCCAATGTTTTTTGAATGAAACATTTTTATTTTCCTTGTTTTGATCGAGCTT